TAAGATAAGAAAAACCTTTATTAATCCCCCACTGGGGAAATTTGCAGGGTTAGATAGTTCTAAGTCCTAATTATAGAAAACACAGTATTGCAGATGCCAGTGGTCGTGCACAGATTCTTTCATGAATAGAAATATTGATATAAGTATAAATATTGTACAGATTTTAACAGAAGAAGTTATAATAGAATCAGAATCCTCGTTATTGTCATTATGCACACGTTTCCATACACAACGAATTTTCAGTCTGAAGTCTGCTTTTGCTTTTCAGCAAAAGAAAAATGTCATAAATAAAGACTTCCAACAACCAAGTATAAACACAAACACTAAAATATCAATATATGCATATCTATACACATAACAGTGATATCAGCTGCTACTACATTTTATTGCCTGTTATCGATCCAGAAACGTCCCTGCAGAGCGCTAACCGTGTCCCTGTCCCTCCTGCAGATAAGGAGCTGAACACGGAGGGCTTCAGCCTGGAGAGCTGCAGGAGCATGATTGCTCTGATGGACGTATCCTTTGTATCGAGTGCATCGGGCGGCTGTGTTGTCTGTAGGAGGCACAACCTGCCGAGACCCGAGGAGGGTCTGTGATGGACGTCACGGGGATCAAACCTCATTTTACCCACAAACACAGTTACCTCGGGGGGTTTCTGACCAAAGCGGGTGTTTAGTCCTGACATTACAGAGCTCTAGTGATGGTTTAGGACAGGATGCAACACTGAAGGAGTCACTTTTATGTGAGACAATCCTCTGAGTGAGCAGTGAACAGTGAGCAGTGCGTTACTTTGTGGAGGGAAATTCTTGTTTTGCTGCTCGAATGTGACGCTCAGATGTTGTTTTATGTGGAATTCCAGTTTTTGAGGCATAAAGAAAACAAACTTCATAAAAAGTCTGGCAGCAAAAAATACAAGAAAAAATTTTGTACTATTATAACGTTCATAAACTATAAACATGGTGAAAATACCATTAAATACAGAACCAAGTATAATACAGTAAACGTGGTCGTTTAGTCACACATTGTAAAACATCAGTACGTTAAAAACTGTTTACACTGTAATGTTCAAACAGTGTGAAAATAACAGCAAATATCTGCAAGCTAGTGATATTTCCAGCTGATTTAAATGCAATAAAGCATCATTTTACAGTCACACATTGTAAAATAGCAAATTATAATTACTAAAAATACAAATATGATATGGACGCTATTTATAGTTCCCCCCTATTTCTTTTAATACAGTGGACATTACGACGCTTCATACTTTGAATTTACGAGCTGATATCTTAATATAACAAACAAAAAAAAAATCTGTCAAATCATACTTGCCATTATGTCATAAATATTATTTACCATGTTTCACTCCTAAACATATATAATTATTCTTGTACATAATGGCAAATATTTGTAAAATAACATGTTTTTGGTGATTTAAATGTAGTTTAAAAAAAGTTTAATTTTTCATTCAAACATTAAATTATTGTTATTATATGTTTATATATATATATTTTTTTAATTTTTTATTTTTTTTTAAGGACCATTGATGATTACAATTCAATTTTGGCTTGTTTCTTTACAGTTAACTTGCAAATTCATATTTTACAATATTTAAATGTGTTGTGGTGGTTGTATTAGATTTTAATCTATTCTTCAGTCCTTTGTATACATTTTTTTTCTTTCAAATTACAGCAAATATGTGTACAATAACAGGTTTTTCTTTTGCTAATTTAAACAATAAAAAATTTGCAGTCAGACATTGAAAAGAAGCAAATTACCATTTGTTTAAAAAAAAAAAGAAAGAAAGAAAAAAAGGATTATGGACATTATTTACAGTTCTGGTCCTTTTTTTTCTTACTGTTACCATGCAATATATACATATATATATATATATATATTAATGTTTTGTCACTGCAGTCCTTCATATTCATATTTTGTCTTTAGCAGTGTAATTCCACAATCAGACACTGAAAAAGAGAGAACTGTTGTTATTATTGTTATTACTTATGTGGATGTTATAACAGTTAAGGTTGTTCCAGCTGTTAAGGTTAAACACTGTTTAAAAGAAGGTGAAACGTGAAGCCGGTTGTCGTCTGATTTGATTTGATCTTGACTGCGTCTCGTCAGATGGACGGAACAGGACGACTCAACCTGCAGGAGTTCAGACATCTGTGGAACAAGATCAAGCAGTGGCAGGTGGGAGCAGCAGAAACCATCGCATCCTTCTCGTCCGTTTGATGCTTTATTTTATTGGCACTGGATAAAATAACGACGGTTTTCCTTCTTTAGAAACAGTGACAGACCTGCAGTGGGTTTGGCAGCTGTAGAAAACGTTCTCTCGCTGACGAAACGCGTGAAACTCACTCGTTGTTCTGTTTCAGGGAATCTTTCAGCACTACAACGCTGACCAGTCCGGCAGCATCAACAGCTACGAGATGAGGAACGCCGTCAACGACGCAGGTAACAACACAGTCACACTGCTTCTCTTCGGCTTGTTGAAATCACAAAAATATAAAGTTTTCCGCCAAAATAAAACGGCTGGATTCAGACTACAGTCAGAATTCAACATGGTTCATTTTTGCAGCTCATTTCTCTGGTCTTCAGGAGTCACATGGGCTTTTTATATACTGTTCTTTTTTGTTTGTTTGTTTCCAAATGAAAAAAGACTTTTGGGGGCTGAAAAAACAAACAAACAAAGAGTAAATGATAATAAATAAATGTGTGGGTTTTTTTGTAGTTGTTGTTAAAATTAGGGGAAGAAAAGCCCAAATGACTAAAAGTTTTGGCTTTCAAACAAAAAAGGAAAAAAAAAAAAAGTGACTCCAAACCAAAAACAGACCATGTTTGATGTCATTAACTGAAATGATTTTTCTGGGTTTGGCTTTAAAACAAAGAACTGATTCAGATTTATTGTTTTGGTTTTGTTCTTCTGCACCTTTTATTCCAACAAGCATATGTTGCATAAATAAATAATTTCTTAATCCTAGCAGAAAAGTTTCCATCTTATGGATTTCTTTATTGTAGAAATTTCTCTGAAACCGATAAAACGTCAGCAAAAAAAACAACATTTTAATGAACTCACCCTTTGGGTTGTCGTTTACAATGATAAACTATTTTATAATTTGCTTTTTAGACACAGGTACAGGTGTTTCTAGATTTGATTAAAGCTGCTAAAGGTTGTTTTTTTAATGTCTTTTAAATTTGACATATTTATATTTTAGAAAAACTTCAGCATGAGCTCCATGAACCTGGAGATATATTAAAAAAATAATCTTTCTGAAGCATCAATTATGTCCTCAAGCACTTTATTGGCAACACCTGTGAAATGTAAAGCAGCCCAATGCAACCTTCATGCCTTACATCCAACTGTCACAAAGCGTTTTCAGTTTCAGTCGACATAATTCTGGTTGTATCTATAAATCTATAACCCTGGCAGGCGGTCGTGGTGCTGCGTTAGATTTCACTCGTGTCCCTGATGAAGTGCTGAGTCATGCGTTGTTGTCATCCTGATTTTAATAATGTGAAGCACTTGTTGAGTCTTTGCTGCAGATGAAGCTACAGCCTGAACTCACCTCTAAATGTTCTTGTCACTGTACAGTCATGTGTCTTGTGTCCCGCTCAGGCTTCCGTCTCAACAACCAGCTGTACGACATCATCACCATGCGCTACGCCAACGAGAGCATGAACATCGACTTCGACAGCTTCATCAGCTGTCTGGTTCGGCTCGAAGCCATGTTCAGTAAGTCACACGTGTAGAACGCGTTCGATGATCCACGTAAACAACGACGTCATGAAAACAACCGGCCGTGCATCAGTTTTTCACTTTGTGTCTGACGCTGAACACTGAAGGACCTCTGAGCGTTAACATTTGTGACTTCAGTTTAAATTTCAAAGCAAAGAGGCCAAATAGTTTAGTCTGAGTTCAGGGGAAACGTGAATAAACTACACGTGCAGAACACTTAATGAACACATGTAATTGTCTGGATTTATTTTCTTTTAATTTAGCAGATTTTTACTGGATTTTCCAACAACAACAACTAAAAAATTATAGAAAATTACAAAAATATGCCGTGAATTTGCACGTCTAACATATAATAATATCAAACACGTGTAACTGTGAAATTGTATTAAAATTAATACAATTTAAATTTTTTAAGGATTTTTTTTTTACATCAAAACACTAAAAAACAGCAAATTTATCCTAATTTTATCAATATATTCTTTTTATTCAACAGATTAAACTGTTAAATTCTGCTGTAGTACTGTTAATATATTTCCTAAATTAGACACAATTAGTGACATTTAGCTGAAAAGGTAATAATGATTCAGTTTTACACAGATTTGTTTGTTAAATAGGAGCTATCTTGTATAATTACCGATTCTCTCCAGCAAAGATGTTGAATGAACGTGTTCTCATCGATGTGTAACATCTAGAAGCGCTGGCAATCTATTGAAATATAATGTTTATCTAATATTTAACTTCTGATATAATTTTTTACATACTGTTATAAAATAAGTAATTCATTTATTTGCACACGTTTTATCTAAACATGAAAAAAAATACACATAATTAAGGCAATAAAATGTATTTGAAACATGGAAAATGACAATATTTTTTATGTTGGTTATTTTCTATTTTGTTGCAGTGTTTAGTGGCGCCCAAGCTACCGGATTATTATCATTTTTTCCAGTGTGTGCTGAAGTGTTTCATTAACTTTAATCCCAACTCAGTGAGACTCTGTAGATTCAGACCCTTGCATTGTTGTGATTTTTGTTGAAGCTCTTCTTCTAGCTGGAGACTTTGAGTTCACCAAACCATGTGTTTTTGAAACTTCCTGGTTTACTGTGATGCCTTCAGGTTCCTATATGAGATAAATCCCACCCCTGTATTGAATCACAGCTGCAGCGTAACGTTTCTGTTCTTCTCAGGGGCGTTCCAGGCCTTCGACCAGGACGGAGATGGAACCATCAGACTCAGTGTCCTGGAGGTACGACAACACAATAAGAAACTCACTCACAAACCACAGTTTACAAACCTTGTGTTGACTCACCTTTGAATATGAAACTCAGGCATACAGAAAAGCACAGACATAGATACAAAAAAGACATTTTCGCCATAAATTGGTGCAGAAAAGGCAAAAAATTCAAACTTTAGGCATCAAAATAGTCGTCCACAAACCGACGGATGGGCAGCTGTTGCCACTGGATTCACGCTTTCTGTTAAGTCCAGTAATGGTGAAGTGATTGTAGGGTTTTTCTAGGCTCAAAATGGTTCTGTGTTTCCTTAGTTGGCATTAATTTATACATTTTCCTGCTGTTTCTGACCACTTGATGAACAAAAGTGTCTGTACATGAATACATGAAACTCAAATTAACAAAACTTGTAAAAATCTTTCTTGTCACTTTGGTGTTGGTAATTTTCCTTTGGCACTGGCTAAAATTTCTTTCTTAATTATGTTCCTCTATGCAGGAAAAACCCTAAATTATAAATAAATATAAAGTAATAAAGAGCCATAATGGTTAAAATGTGGGTTTTAGAAATGTCTTCGGAAACAACCACCTGAATTCTTCGCAGACAGCCCCAGAAACAGCTCATAACTCCAAACGGATTTATCACGTGAGGGTTAATCAGAAAGTTCCAACCAAACCTCATGTAAATTTTGCCACCATCCACATCAAAGTAGTCTCCTCTGTGCAGCAACACACTGCTCGTAGTGTTCCTGCAACGCTTGTAAAGCTTGTGACCAGCCCTTCGATAACAGTTCCAATCGTTTGCACCGAATCTTCTCCCTTAAACAGCCGTATAACTCGGCCTTAACAGTCCGACTCCAAGGGGCAAACCCACAGGCTGCAACCAGGTGAATCTGAACAAAAAGTAGTTTTGTACACTCCTCACCTGCTGCCCGATTTTCAAACCTGTGGCCCCTCCGGTATAAAAATTGTTGTTTCTTCTCCTGATGGTAACCACTGGCCCACCTCTTATGAGCAGTGATGATCCGTAACACACAAGCTGCATCATTCCAGCTTTTAACCAACTAAAAAGATCGCAAATGCTCACCTGGCAGTGTCGCAAAAAATGCGTTTAATGCACATTTTGCTTGACTATGATGTGCACCACAAACAATCTTGGAACTTTTCGATCAACCCTCGTATATTGTACCAATAGAGGGTCTTATTATATCTGGTTATTTAAAGTAGGGGTGTAATGAAGAACAGATGTTTCTAAAAGTCTAATGAACCTTTCTTCTCCATCTCCAGTGGCTCCAGTTGACCATGTACGCCTAAAAACAAAAAAAAAGGCCAGCTTCTCCCAGGTGAGCTCCACTCCACACGAGGACCAGACCTACCAGCCTTTACCTCAACATTCAGTGTGCCTGACCGCTTTCATCCACCTCGCCTCACCTCCAGCCTTCACATCCCCGAATCCCAGCAGCTCTTCTCTTCATTTTACCTTCTCTCTCTCTCTACCTACAGTAGGTCTCAGGCCTTTTCCTCTCCCCGCCTTCGTCCTCCCATCATCACCAGAAGTCTCTTTTCAGTCATTTTCTTTTTTTTTTAATTTCAGACACCCTATCACATGTACAGTACTTTTCTCAGGCAGCAAACACACACAACAACCTCTTTTTTTTCTGTCAGAATACCTCACAGAGCCTCTCACAGAAACCCATAACTGTACTAGTATCGACCTCCTCCAACCACCCCGTGACATCCTGCTTCTTCTTCTGTTATCAAACTGGGCTTCTTTCCTGTATTCACTCCAGTGAACTGGGCTCTCTGGTGGACAGTGAATAAAGTTGTGAATTACTCCCTGACCTGTTTCATGATAATGCAACCGGCATTCGCTTTTTTTTTTCGTCAATAAAAATGATCCTCTTGGATTAATCGTGGGCCTAGAATCAGTCATATTTCATCGGGTTGCCATGTCGAGTGCTCCGGCCCCACAGATAGCGCCCCCTAGTGGGCGAACTCAGGCTTCTTTGGTTCATCTCGGCTCCCCTCGACTCGCCTGTCCAGTCCGCTCCGTCTTCCAGCTCTGCATGTGGATGGATGAGATTCCAGAACAAAACAAAAAAGTGTGGAGCCGACGAGTCTTTTTTCTTCCCGACACCAACACTCGAGGTTCAAATGTGGATTTGAAAGAATATGGCTAGTGGGTTGGACTGCAGCTTTTCTGTGATTTTTTTTTTCTTTTCTTATTAAGGCTTTGGTCAAATGAGTGTACTGCATTTTTAACCATTTTAACCAAATAAATAAATGTGTAGTTATTGGTTTGACTGCGTTACCAGTGATTTTGATGTGAAACTGTGGTGTGTTGGACCTTGAAATGTGCAAGTTTTTCTCTTCAGACGTATAGAAATTTATTTAATGAGCCCCCCCACCCCCCAAACCTCTGTTGAAAATCAAGTTTTTTTGAGCTTGTGAAGTGTCCATGTGGTGTTTTTGATCTGCTAGAAGACACATCGTGAGCGAAATAAGCAGTCAGCGCCTTAGCGGAGCTGCAATGTACCAACGACAGTCTCAAAAACATAAATTCAGACTTTCATACATAAAAAAAAACTGAGGAACCAACACTGTCTAGTTGACGGATGGGACTTGCTGTAACATGATTCTTCTTTAGGTCTCGTTTCCACATCGCTCTGTGTACATAAACAAGTCAAAGGAAACTAACTTTTGACAAATTTGCAATAGGAGGCATGTTCTGAACAATTGTCTCAACTTATAATCACTATAAACGCAAAGCTAACTCAATACCTCATTCTTGCCCTGATATCACTGTTGTCCTGTGACGTAAGTTGCTAAAAGCTTATGTTGCATGAGATGCTGTCTTAGTTCGTTCAACGAGTCTACAAACTAAATCTCTAGCCGGCAGCTATTAAGCATCACAGGAGACTTTCTCATGGTGGCCCTTCGTTAGCTAAATTCCCACAATGCTCTCTGACACCTGGTGGCACAACCAGGTACTACAGCTAATGTACATTTTCTTACATACGCTTCCTTCGTCTTTTGACTTGACCATAAATATATTTTTAATTGGTAAAATTGTTAAGATTACCTGATAATCATTAGCTTATCTTAGTTTATGAAACACTTTTTTTCTGCTCCAATATTTGCCTTGAATACGTTGAAAAACTATAATTTCTGGATTTCGGAGACATGAAGTTAGAAAAACTAATTATTTACAGGCTTTTCGGTTATTTGACTTTGTTGACATTCAAATTTGTAAAAGTGTAATTAAAAAGTGTAGCTTGTTTAACACTAGTTAGCACAGTGGAGTTTTTTTTTAACGTTTTGTAACTAAATATTTTACAAAACTGGCAAACCAACCACTTCCCTTATTGGTCCTGCTGTTGCCTAAGTAGTTCTTTATTTGCATATTCCATAAAAGTGGACACATATAAAACAAATCCGTCTCTCACCCCAGTGGTTGAAGTTAAGTTTGTATCCATTGGTAAAGAAATGCAGTACTTTGCATTGACCACTAGGGGGATGTATTCTGTACATCATACAAATTCACCACCAAACAAAGTTAAGTAAAAATGAGGCGTCAGAATCCATTTTTGGCTCCAACGTGGATAAATAATAACTCTGATTTAGTTTTACAGTGTTGTGTTGAGTCGTAGGTGAGCTGGTGTGCTCGGGCTGTGTATTCTAGATGAACCAACACTGTTTTAAGACTAAATTAAGACAATTTTCATGGATAAAACTAATAAACTGTGTGATTTTAATGCACAGAGATGAGTTTTTCAATCAATGACCAGAGAGGGACTTTAAAATCAGAACATACAATAAACAAAAAACATCATAAAGAAAACGCAGAGAAAGTTTCTGATGTTGCAACATTTTTATTTTTTTTATTAATAAGTTCTTAAATTGCACTTTCTTAAAAAATATCTCTTCACAACTTCGAGAACAACTGAAAAACTTGAAGAAACTCAGGAATGCCAGGTAAGAGGTGAAGCGCTCGCTTTGCTCGGTCACAAAACGTCGAGTGAGTGAGGAGAGTTTGGAAGACGGCGGCGGCAAGATCGTTGGCTTAACTCGGCTGAGAACGATTCATCGACGGGGTGGACGCCGCCAAGAGAACACCAGCTAGGCTTTCAAGCTGCGATAAAATGGGTTTCCTTTGTGTCACCGGTTTGTAAGAGGGTGAGGTATGGCATGGGAGATGAATCCTAATTCTTCCCTCCAAGATCTTCCATCAAACACCTCCTCTAAACATCCTTCACCTCCACACTTCATTAGAAAACTATCTTCACTGTGGAAAAAAATACAGCTCCGGTGCCTTCTGCTCGACGCTCCGAATATAAAATAAAGTCCATTAAAAACCGTGTCTCACACTCACACTCTTGGAAAACGAGGTTGGAAACGTTCCGTCAACAGTTACGAGGAATGAATCCACACAGACAAACGCGCGCAGGAACACACAAACACACCACCGCGTCCACGCCTCGGCTCTGTTATCACTGCAAATGTAAATCCTCAAATGGCAACCTCAGGCCGAGTCACACGACAAAGTCCCTCCACGCTGAAACGTCACCTGAATGAGCAACGGATCAAATAAATATAACCCCCGAGCTGCTAACGAAACGAGAAGACTGTTAGACATCGGGTTTATTTTTCTGAAAATAAAATAAAAACCAAACCAGAAATAAATTAAACTCCTTCATAACAAATAATCACACCGTTAGCTGGGAGACGATGATTTCCCCAAAAAATAAAAGCGCGAGGCTACTTTGAATAAACTCGCAAAAACAGGAAAGAAAAAAAAAACAAAAAACTAAAGGTTGCTCAACATGACACATCACAACAGCACAACAACAATAAAAACATCTCTTAACCCATGCCATATGGTAGCCAACCAATCCGGAAGACCATTATTGGTTTTTGTTGCAGTTTTGAAATGCAAAGCAGCGCGAATCCCCCCCTCGAATACCGGCAACGCTGGAGTTTCTTCGATAAACAAAAGTCGTGTGTTGGTTTTTCTTTTCGTCTTACTTTGGTCAGTTAAAGAGGAGCTGCAGTGGTCAGACAGAAAGAGAGGAAGGCGTGTTTTGTAGAACGTAAAAAAAAACAAAACAAACAACAACAACAGCGCAACCAACCTCCTTTCACGATTGTATTATGGTTGGATTCCAACACCGAACATAAAGGATGGAGTCGTCGGACGCCGCTCGTCAGTTAGCGGGTCCCGAGAACAGGCCCCCCCAATATGGGAGGTTAACAGGGGGGTAAAGGGTAAAAGAGCTCAAGGCGGAAAGTGTGTTTCCACCGGTCGCCCTTAAGGCTCCACTTGGGTCTCCTCCTCGGCATGTTTCTGCATGTGCACCAGCATTCCCTGCAAGAAACAGAAACCCTTGTCAGACGTGTGATATTGAACGTTGCTAAACATTGCTGAACTAAAAAAAAAAAAAAAAAAAGGGGCTAACATCGGCAGAGTGTTTTTATACCTGCTTGGAGCTGTTGCGTGCACAGAAAAACTCTTCACAGTTTTTCCAGCGGCACTTGATCGTCTGGAGTTTGGCACCGGTATGGTCGTTGATCAGGTGCTGCTGCAGATGCTCCGTCAGCCCGAAGACCAGCGAGCAGCCGTGCCACTAAAACACAACAACATAACCACCATGAGAGGACTCGAGCCACATAATATTTGTATCCTAAATATCTCTTTAGACATTTTTAAAAATCAGACATGAGTCTGTTCAGAAGGCTAAAACACCAGAATCAGCACTACAAAGTAACAGATGTCTCCTGAATCTTCTGCTAGACGCAATTCTGTTGCGTGTTTATGATACTGTCTTAATCAGTTAATAAATAGATTTATAAACTCTTGAACTGTGACTCATCTATTCATCTGTCAAGTCCATGTCTTACCCAGCAGCGGTAGTTCTGCATCAGGTTCAGCTTGACGGCCTGAACGCTGCCGTCGTAACAACCGGTGTAGATCTGAAACGGATCAGATCGCGTTCAGTCTTTTACTTCATGTGAGTTTTTCAACATACCTTCCATAGATCCTGTATTTTAAAAATATAGCATTTTTCATGTGCAGAATGTTGTGTTTTTTTTTACCATTTTGCGAACATTTAAAAGCCAATTAAATGTGTTGCTTTGTCATGGAAGGAACAATGATTTTTGCAGCTAAACTGAGTGTCTACTGCTTGAGTAGTTTCTCACCATGTTCTTGTGCACCGACATACACATCACCATGTCCTTGTGTCCACCGTACACCTGCAGCTGCTCATGAGACTGTGGACGGAACGTTAGCACAACTTTTTAGATTTGCAAAATCGTGTATTTCAAAACAAAAATGCCTTTCGTGGCTAAAATTAAATGAGCAAATGACAGGCAGATATTCTAGTAGTATTATTTTGAGGATGCAGACCTGCAGGTCGTAGACTCGGACCAGTTTGTCGAGGCAGGCGGTCACCATTACTTTGCCCAGGACGGCCACCACAGTGACAGCATGATTGTGTCCTTTGTAGACCCGAACCAGCTCCCCTGTCTGTGACACAGTGGCAGAAAATAGCTGAATAACATTTCTCAAACACTATAAATCGTGATTAAAATGTGGCTTCTTTTTTTTCCCTCTAAAAGCTTTAAATGAACTCACGTGGATGTTGTGTGCGTAGACGCATTGATCACTGGATCCACTGAACACCAGATCATTGACCACCTGACAGGGGAGAGAAACGTCTAAATAACTTGAAAGATCACACAAGAATTAGCAGAGTTCTCTAAAACACTGTTGGCTTTTGTTTTCTGCTGCTGCATTACGAACCAAAACATACGTATATTTACATACAGCATCTATTTGTGCACATCCTCCAATAACACACCAAAGCTTAGATTAAGCCTTTCAAACATCCTGTATGTTTCTGTAAATTCCTCGCCAGCGTCTCAGACTTCAGACCCACCTTCATGCAGAGCACCGTCTTGCTGTGACCCTCCAGAGTTCTCAGCAGCAGTCCGTTCTTGGCGTCCCTCACGCTGATGGTGCTGTCGAAGGATCCGACCAGCAGGACCCTCCGAGCTCCTTCCTGCGACGAGGCCAAGCAGCTGACAGCTCGCGGCCCGTGGCACTCGAACACTTCCATCTGCTTGTTTGACTACACGAACAGCAGCAGAGTTAATTGTTTTCACGGTCGATTAAGCGGCCACTTATCCTCTAGATTAAACAATCAGTTGTTTGGGTATAAAATGTCAGAAAACGGTGAAAAATGTCAGCGTTTCTTGTTTTGAGCACATTTTTTACACTTTTTTTAAATACTTGTTTTTGTTTTTTAATGCTTGTTTTTATAAAGCTGTATGTTGTTGTTTGCTATATTTCCTCTTCTTTTTTTAAAGTTTCGTTGTAGATGTGCGATGACAATAAATATCCTTGATTCTTGATCCTAACAGATATTCATTTACTGTTGCAGAGAAGGAAAGAAACCAGAATGAAAAATTAAAATTAAAGAAGCTGAAATCTGCTATTTCTGACTTCTTTCTTTAAAAATGATTCAAACCAATGAAGATTATCCAAATAGTTGGTGATTAATGTCATAACTGACAACAAATTGGTTATTTGTCGTAGCTTAAAATGAACATCAGCACTGTGTACCTTCTAGAAGAAAGTATGCAAACTTCCTGGGGGGGGTTGTGTTTTTTTGGTCTCGTTTATTTTTATTTTCTACACCTTTGCAATATCGTCTCTGAATTTTAGAGATAATAATAAAGGCATATCTTCCTAAATACTAAAAAAAAAGGAAGTGTGCAGCCGCTGAGGCAAATGTGACTTCTAGCAGCTGTTATTTTTACTCTTAGCTTAGCGTGTAGGATTTAAAAAGGTGATTTTTATGTATGTATTGTATGTAACAGCTGCTAAAACTGAAGTCAAATCTGAACCCACTTGAAAACTGAAGAGACATTTTGGACTGATGTGTCAGACAGTATTATACCTCACGAAAGGTTGATGAGAGCTCAAAATCTGTGTCCGCTCAGCGTCACGAGGGCTGTGGTGTGTTCAGAACATGTAAACGCTGATGTAGTATGGAGTAAAGTAGTAAAACAGTCAAATAAAGGCTTAAGAAAGAGCTCTCCACCACCGTTATCACATCACTAAATGAGAGAATATGTTGTTGTTCGTTCCTTCAGTTGGAGTTAAAGAGATTTAAAGAATAAAAAGTGACCACGAGGGCATAAGGAGGCCCGACACCTGACTAACACGCCTAGTGTTGGATTTATTGCTTTGTCGCTCTTCTCCTGATAAATTCAGCTTTAAAAGACGTCGTACACTTCATTTCTCACCTTGAGGTTAAAGGTCACCACTGTGCCGTTTCCCAGACCGGCGTACAAAGTCCTCCAGCGGCTGTGAAGGCAGAGGACTCGGTCCGACAGAGAGAACTGCTGCTCCAGCTCTCGTGTCTGTGGACAAGAGGGAACATTACAGAGAGTCCACGATTCAGCATTACTCTGAGAGTGGACAAGTTATCTTTTTAAAAAATCTACTCTGACTATCTGATGAACTTCCCATCCATGTCGCGTTTCTGTCGGAAAACGTAACCAAACACTTTTTAAATAATTCTCATTCTATGTGTCTCATTTAAAATAACAATGAATCCTCCACAATAACCAGATTATGTTGAAAATGAAAAAATTTTGCATTGTTCAATGCAATCGTGAAGCCAGTAGTGACCCAGCAGCAACCGACAGTAAATTAACAAAACTTTTGGGACTTTTCAGCTAAACTGCAGACAGTGTTTGCACAGAGCAGAGAGGAGACAACCACAGAAGCAAATTAAAAATGTAAGCAGTAAAATATTCATAGCATGTATAGGCACCATTTTTTCCAGTATTGGGAACACTTGTGGACACTTGTGGCATATGCTGATTCCAGGTTTTTCCATTTTTTGTAAATTAAATAATCAAATTAATTAGCCTTTTCATGTTATTTCTCTCAGTTTTTTTTTTTTAATGATTTATAAAATTATAGCTTTGTTATAATGCACTAAAGACATTTTGGATTTCTCTCTACGTCTTCATGGTTGTGTTGTTTCCAAAGAGGTGCAGGACTTTATAGTTGAGTGAAAAATGAACCCACAGTGAATAAAAATGTCACAGGGGCAGAAACTGCTTGGAGTTCAGAGGGTTCAACACAAATCTATTTATGTATAATTTTGCTCACATGCTGCAAAAAGCCACTTAGTACAGCTCTAAATACGGCAGTTTTTTAGGCGAGTGAGTTTGTACCTTGAGGCTGTAGCAGCGGATGGTTTGGTCGCTGGAACCAGAATAAAGACGATGATGGAGTCCCGGAGCCGCAGACACCAACAGGCAGCTCACTTTGGAGCTGTGACCCTCGAACACACCCACACATTTATGAGTCTGTAAACAAAAAAAAAAACCCAGAAATATTTATAACAGACATCAGTGTACACCCTGACAAATTAGCAGCAGCAGTTCTTCATCATCACCCACCACCAGGTCAAAGGCTTTGACGGTTCGGTCTCCTGAACACGTGTACAGCAGCCCGTTGTGGATCTGCATGGCGTTAACAGCCTCCTGGTGGCCCTCGAACGCACCGTCGGAGGGCATCTCGTCCTCACCGTGGTCGGAGGACACATCTGGGAAACACAAATGAAGGATACGTGCAGCACATTAGCACAAGCATCAGTAAAAACCAAAGCAAATGTTCACTTTTAGTCTTTTTGATTGACTGAAATTGACACCAGGGGACATTTTAACACCTTTAATTCACCAGATATATCCAGTTATGTCCATAAAGTATGATTTAGAGGATTTATGTACGTGTCATGTTTTGCCTCATCTAACAGCTACCTCTACATAAATCCACCATCAAGCCAAGTTAAATAATCAGATTCTCAGTCCCGTCCATCTCTGTACTCTTTCTGCTGAGCGGCGTCGCCTCACAGCTCTATGAATATCTTGCCCATAAAAAGTAATTTGGGCTCTCCACAGTCTATTTTAACTCCAGTCTGGCATTTCTAATTCTGGCCGCTCAGAATGTAATATGATTTTATGCATTCACACTTCAGGACGACCAGCTGGGTCCAGTTTCTCTGTATCGGTTTAGTGTTGGGCTGCTAAACCTGCAAAAACCTCCGACACTGCTGAGAAAAGTTAAATTAATGTCAAAAAAATAAAATAAAATAAAAAAACTTGTGTAGTAATTTAAAAAAAATAATACTAACATTTCTGTAATGTAAGCAGCTTGTTGAATTGACAGATATCTTTAAAAACACTGCTAATTTCTGTAACTAATCAGAAATTCAGATGCATTTTACTCTGTATTTGGTGGATTTTTCATTCTGAACAAAACTATTTCTGTCACTTCTGATGTTAACAACAATAATACAATACCTGAGCACATAATCTGCACATTTACAGATGCATAATTTTACTTTGGGAGTCTACTAGAATATGTTTACAAGCTTTAATGCTCAAATAACACATTTTTCTCATACTGACGGTCAAACTAGCTGGAGTTAGGGTTAGGGTGCAAATGTGGCACATGGCGATGCAGGTAACAGGAAAGGAGCTTTCTATGATGAGATTAACTCTCTTAGGCAAGTTTTCAGACCTTAGAGAAGCTTTTACGCAATAAAGGAAACGGGAAAACTCAAGAGGCATAACATGGGCCTTTCAAATAATATGTCTAATATAATATAAGATAATAACATGAGCAGCTCTGCAGAGACGAACGTACCTGATGAGTTCTTGGGCAGCGTGATGGCAAACGGCAAATCGCTGTGAGGAGAAGAGTTGAAAAAAGAGTTCAATTTAAATGTTCTACCATTAAAGTCAAGACAGTAGAATATAAAGTTTTATCAACTTCAATTCAGTTCTTGGACGTTTTAATTTTGGAAAAGTACTTCACACATCAAAACTAGAGATTTATTACATCTAAAGTCAGTTTCAACATGATTGTATTAAATGTTTATTCTACATTTTGTTTGCAACTTAACTTGATGATATTATCAAGCGACATCACGTCGGCAATAGAGTACTAACAGAGAAGCAGAGTTTCCTAATTAAATGTGCCGTATGAGGGGTTACTTGATTTCGTCAAATTCTTGCAATGACAACAAAGAAGTTCTATTATGAACACAAATTGTTGTACGTTTTTCTACTTTATGTGCAATTTAAATCCCATTTTTCACTCATGTTAATTGCTAAACTGGGACTAAACAATCTCAAACTAAAGTCTAATTTGCCCGTTCTGCAACTTCTGAGCTTTTGACAAAACCCTCATCAGGAGACAGAGTTTCTGACTGACGTGAAACGGCTGGAAGCTCCAGAACAAGCTCGTTAGTGAACACAGAGCTGATATCGTATTGCTAGCGGCTCACCTCTCAGAGGATTTACACAGATCCATGTCACTGGTGGAGGAGACCTCGTTGCAGGCCAGGCTCTGGGGCTCGGGTCTGGAGGAGTCTGGGGCCGGTGCTGGAGGGGTAACCAGGGGCGAGGCGTCTGCGTGGGGCTGCTGGAAGGCCACAGTGACCTCCATGCTTTCCTCTGAATCCACCACAGCAGCCTCAGTGGCGGCCGCCTGAGGAAGCTCCACCATGAGTTTGCGGTCGATCTTCTCCAGTTTGACGGTCAGAACCGCCGTCCTGAGCGCCTTCACGTCGCCGTCTCTGTCTTCTGGGGGCAGACTGGAGGTGCTGACCTGAGAGCCTCCGCTGGGTCTCCTGCGAGGTCGGAGCCATCTGGGCCTTGAGGCTTCTTCGTCCATCTCAGTGTCGGTGCTCTCGAGCTGCTCCAGGCCCGGAGCCTTCTTCAGCGCCTTCCTCTTCTTCAGCTTCCTCACACGCTTCCCGGCCCTGGTTTCGGACGGAGAGGTCGGCAGGTTCGGGGCTAAAGGCGCCGAGGGAGGCTGGAAGAAGTGAGCGTCGGCACCGTCGGCCTCCTCAGAGCCTCTCCTGCTGGGGGAGAGGAGCTTTAGGGAGGCTTTGGAGTCAGGAGAAGCCGGAAGGCAGCTTCTCGCTGTCTGGATGCCCCTTTCTGTCGTCTCCACCAGACCCTGCAGCTCCTCTTCGCAGGCTGCAGGCTCAACAAAGCTGGCTTGGTGCAGCTCTGATTTTCTGTCAGGAGAGGGCTGGAAGTTCAGGGGAGGATCTGCAAAGAGTTTCAGATGCACACGGATCAAGACACCACAGACCTAAAGAATAAATGAACAGGAACACTGAGAAGTTGTGAGGACATTTTTCTTTCTACTACAGCACTTGGTTAACCCTGTGGACCTCAGAAGCTGCCAGGGAGTTTTAAAAGCATGCTGTGTTTTAGAAAATTCCTCAAATTTATCAGAGACAGAAACTGTGAAGACAAAAAGAATCATCAGATTTTCAACCTGTCAGACGGTTCTTGAACTACTCATCTGTGACATTCAGTTGGAAAATGTAACTAAATCTAATCTTTAATTGGTGATATTTAATTAAAATGACTTTATTCGACATGTCTAGTTTGCCAAAAATCAACCATTTGCACCAGATTCTATTCAAAATAAAATAAAAATTCTGTGCTCCTCTGCACAACCGTGAAGCCTTTAGTGACTCAGCTGTGACCAACAGTTATCTTTTGGGACTATCCGGCTGAACTGCAGGCTGTGTTTAGACAGAGCAGAAAGGAGACATGTATGGAAACAGATTTAAAACCAAAGTAGTAAAATGTCAATAACACTTGGAGCCCCCATTGGAAAGGTGCAACTTGTGACCACTTAGAAAAATGTTGTACATGTTGATTTAGGGATTTGAAAAAAAAAAGGTAAAATAAATATTTAAAGAAATTCAGCTTTCTTTTTTCTTTTTTTTTGATGATTTATGGCATTATAACTTTGTCTTACTGCACTAAAGACATTTATAGGTTCCCTCTACTTCTAGTCGTGGTTGTGCTGTTTCCAAAGAGGTACAGGACGCTACATTCATCAGAGCTTTCTAAACTCACATTGATAGCTTCTAGTGCGTTCTACTTACTGTTTGGTTGTGCTGTACATATCTAGCTGTGCCCATCAACATGTGAAATGGTCAGAACAACAGAAGAAACACAAGGAGCTCAGTGAATAGCCATACACTTTGCACCGCATGTTGTTACCTGAAGCTGTGGCAGGAGCGACTGGCAGCTCCGGAGTGGTGCTGTGAGCGCAGTGGGCCACGCCGTCTGCAGCGTCCAGCTCTGGGCTGACGTGGACAGGAGACTGGGGCTCCTGCTTCACGACTACAGGCGTGAAGGGAAGGCTGGAGGAGGGAGGAGAGGCGCAGTCTGCAGCACGACCGGGACTGGAGGCAGCAGAGTCCACAACGGGAGGAAGCATCACAGAGGAGGGGATGTGTGGCTCAGCTGTTTCTGAATCCATCTTTTCCTCTTTCAGCTTCACCTGAGGGGCTTCCTCCACGGTACCTGGATTAAAAGGCGTAACAAAAAGCAAATTTCACTGTTAATTTAACTGTGCAGCAAAAGAGAAATCTCACACACACAGAACAGAAATGTAAATTACTTCTGGTAGACACATGGCAGAGCTGCACAGACAAAAACAGTGAACAGACCAGAAAAATCTCAGTTCATGTTGGACTTTTGTCACTTTTTGCACATTTGTTCACTCTGTTCAGGCCTGTTATGTCACAAATAATGTGTTTAATGTGTGTTTTTTGCTGCAATCTTCCTGTGTTATTCTGGAAAACATATTAATTCATTGACTGCTACAGTGATTCCTAGATGTTTGATTACATATTTAAATTACCATGGCATGCAGACTCTGTCATATTTCCGCTTTAACCTCATGCGTAGTTATTAGCAGTAAATAAGTGAGTTTAATTCATGTATTGCAAAATGATTTACACAAAGCTATGTCCTTACCTTGCATCCCTTTGAGTAACTCGATCCGCTTGTTTCTCAGCGAGCTCATCTCTCCGTTCATCTGAGAAGCCACAGAATGGAGGTTAATATTTTCGCTTGTACCCCAGAATATCATGAAGTTGGCATTAAAAGCAAGAACTTATTTTTAAAAACAGTGAGATGTGAGGTGTAAGGTAGATTTTAAAGTGTGCGACAAGAAAACAGACGCCTGCTAGGGTCAGTAACCTGCACACATCTGCTGCAAGGCTCGGAAACTTTACACATAGAAATAAACCTGCTGACAATGAATAGTGAGGATGAGATTTGTAGGTGAGTTTATGTTTATGTGCAGAGAAATAATATTCATAATATGTAGGACTGTTGTTTGGCGGAAAGCAGAGGAAACTTGTACTTAACTTGACTATTTCCCTTTTAGGCTACTTTATAATTCCACTTAAACACATTTCAAAGGGAAATGTAGTATTTTCTACTCCTCTGCATTTATCTGACAGCTTCAGCTACGTTTAAGATGAAGACTTTCCACAATAAATAATACAAGAAGCTTTTAAAACGCAACCTTTTTGGCTTGTAACAAACAGAAGCATGAAGTCAGGCTTAGACTTCCTTTGACTTGTTAACAGCTCCACCAATTTGTGATCTCAACTTCTCACATGGCTTTTTCAATAAATGTTCAAAAGACCAAAGATAAGAGGGAAATAAATCCAAAAACTGAAACAAATTTGTGTATAAGAACTTGTTTTTTCTTCTTTCCTCACTCATTAATCCGATTTTTTTTTTTGCAGTCCCTGAATATGAAACTGGATATAAAGTAGCTCAAAGCTGCACCAGTATATTAATAATATTATTCTGTCATATTATATATGTCAGATGAGCCAAACCAGGATTTTCACTTTAATACTTTAACTAGATTTTGCTGCTATGTACTTTCACTAAAGTAGGATGTTTCATTCAGAACTTGTACTTGTAATGGAGTGTTTATGATTACTGTATCCTAACAGCACTCCCATACATACCTGCTGTTTAACCACCATGAGGCGCTGCACCTCCAGGTAAGCGGCCTCCAGAGCAGCTCGGGCCTGGATCAGGCTGGCGTCCACCGTCTGCAGGGAGCGACTCAGCTCGTCCTCTCGCAGAGACACGGCCAGCAGCTGGTCGATCTGTAAACGCTCTGGACCAAACCCAGAACACACAGATTAAACATCACAGTAAAACGTCACACATACAGGGAGTCATTTTCACTCTGGACACTGACCTTTTTTGGATTTGACCTTCCGTCTTTTGCTATTATGTTCCAGGCACAAGGATTCTGCATTTGGAACATCCTAAAAATGATTTTAAAAAAGGCTTGTGTTTAATTTGTGATGATATAAATAGAAAAATACAAGTCAGAACACTGTTTCCTGAACTCACCCCGGCTGCTCTCCGCCTCTTCCCTGTTCCCTGACCGTCGTACTGCTCCGTTCCCGAGCTGCTGTCTCCGAGGACTGAGTCGGATCTCTGCAGAGCTTTCACTGTCTTCGCTTTGCCTGGCTGCTTCTGTGCTTTAGCCTCAAACTGACCCAACACCCGCCCAACCTCTGGCTGATTGTCTCCACTTCCTTGATCAGAAACGTGGCTGGGAGAAACTGCAGACGGCTGCTGCTCAGAGCTGAGGCCTTCTCTCTGTGCGGTGTCTTTGGATGTGAGGCTTGTAAACAGCGAGTGTGTGGATGCTGGTGCGACGCTGCTCTCTGACAAAGAGCGTTTTCGGGAGGCGCCCTGGGAAGAGACGTCCATTAATGATTCCCATTGGAAACCCTCCAGCAGGGGAATGTTATCCTCCTCCTGGCTCTGGTACTCCTGCTCACATGGCACCATCTCTATCCCAAACCTGGAGGACAGGAAACAGACAGGACATGAGCTTGAAGTAGCAGAAATCAGATATAACACTGTAAACTTATTACATTTTATTTGACTAAAACCCATGCACATGAGAACCAGACATCTTGTGTATGATACAATCTCACAGAATAGTATCTATAAGCAAAAAGGATACTCGCAAATGAATATTTGTGCTTCACGTGCACTAATGTAATTTCCTCAGCTCTTGTACTTTCGTAAAGCTACCACAGTGCAGAAACACTCCTTCAAGTAAAAGTTGCTCATTAAAATTCCTACTTAAGTATAAAAACAGGGGTGCAAATTTATTTTTTTAAAATTCTTAACCCATTGCTGGCAGCGTTACCAATCAATGTGACAAAATGACATGGATGTAAAAATGACCTGGTAGCTTTAGGCAATTGAATATGGGAAAAATCCTGGACCGTCTTCAGCACTAACTGCCACATAAGTCTTTGTCATGGTGGCCCTTTATTAGTTTGACCCTCACAATGCTCTCTGTTTGCCAAAATGCAAGTGACTGACTCCTACATTATTAAACATAAAGGAACTGTATCTCAATAAATAGCAAGAGGCTCCACCTGGTGGCGCAACCAGGTACTACAGCTCGTCGCATATCTTTCATCTTCTGCCTTGTAAGTTAAGATGTCGTTAACTGGTTAAATTATGAACAGCAACTGGTTATCAATTAATCATGAACATCCCTGGTAATAAAGTATTACCATTAAAATATACCTAAAGTAATAAAAGTAAAAGCAGTCATTATACAGAGATGTCCATATTAGAAAACTGTATGTTATATAAGTGGATAATAATTACAGACCTAATAGCTGCGGCTGGTAAGGATGAAGCATATTTTAATATTTACTGCTGAGTTGTTTACAAATTTCAAAGTTTAATCTTAATCTAAGGCATCACAGTGGGACTTTGCAACAAAATACATTATGATTTGTTGATTATAGTTACATATTATATTGATTGTATTTCTATATTATGATGATCATTTTTCAATATATTATATTTATACTATAGAGGTATAAAGTGGATGCTGTTCTCTGCATCTGGTTTTTATGTGCATGTGTTTTGAGATCCTTGGAGCTTCAGTAATAAGTAACTGGAGTTCCTTAATAATAAAAGAGATCTGAGAATTGAAGAAGCCACTTGGATGGGGATGAAATGTCTTTAAGAACCTAAAACAGAAGTCCACTTGCTTTTTTACAGCTCGGAGGATTACTATGACCTGGCTATGACTGAGAATATCCACAGACACATGTTTTGAGACTAATTAAACACCGTATAAGCTCTAAAAACAAGATCAAACTTTCACCTCGGCATGCCTTTCCCCTTGTCTTGCTTCTTCCTGACTTCCTGATACACCTGTTCCCAGTTCACGTTACGTCGAGACCCCGATGAGCTGATGAGCTGCCGTACGGTCGGTTTGAGCCCAGAGTCCTTTTCGGTGTCGCTTCTCCGCGACTCGCTCAGGTTACGCACCCGTCTGGCGATGTTCAGGTTCGGTTCATGGCCGACTGTCTTGTTTTTGGAGCTGATGTGTTTGCTGAGGTCCCGTTTCAACACAGGAGGCAGGTCCAGTTTGGACAGACTGGATGTGTTGGATCCGGTCTGAGCTTCGCCGCTTCTGGAGGTGTCGCTCTCTGAGCTCTGACCCGCCTCAGTTGCCTGCATGCCGTCATCGGAGGCCACCGAGCAGGTTTCCTTCTCCGATTTCTTCCTGCTCTCCTCATCGTCCCGGCCTGAAGCTGCCGGCTCTGAGCTCTCCACGGTGGAGGTGCTGACTTGCAGCGACTGGAGAAACTGGCTGCTGTCTGAAGACGCCAGCGCAGGCTTTTCTGGCCTGACTGCATCGGGCTGACTTGCATTCTGCCTACAGCTGTTTTCCTTGTTGACTCCAATCGGACTCTGTGATTGCTCCTCCGCGATGTGCCGTGCCATTTCCATCCTGTTGTTAGTGGAGCTGTCTAAAGAGCCTCTCTGTTCTAACACAATCTGTCTGGCTTTCTTCACTGACTCTGGAAGCTGCCGTTCTTGTCTAGACTGCAGCGGCCCAACAGTTGAAGCCTTGAGTCCACTCTGCTTTGCAGCTGGTTTCGACTGTGCTTGACTGGAGGCCTTGCTAAGCTGAGCTCCACCGCCGACACCTGGAACCGAGGACATCTTTCGATCTATCTTCAGCAACGGCTTTTTATTGGACGAACCAGATGGGGAGTTCTGGTGGCCTTCTCTCTGAGAGCTGCTGCTTCTACCGCTGCTGCTGCTGCTCCTGTCTCTGGGTTTGGTCGCTGGGTTTGCTTTGTGCTTCCCTTTGTCTTCCACACTTGGTCGACTCGAGGTCAGCTGCCCTGGTTTCTGCTCAGGTCTGGACTGCCTCTCGAAGCTGATTTCTGGAGGTTTGATCAGCGGTTTAGGGCCTTTGTGGTACTTCTCTGAAGAGTTTGGGTTGGTATCGCTATGAGGTACGAATTCAGAACCCTTGGTGACTGGGTAGGGCGACCAGCGGCACGCTTTGTCCAGCTTCGGATTGCTACCGAAAGCCTTGGAGCTCTTGCTGCTGTTATGTTCAGGCTCTGCTGGTTGTCCCTCCCAGTTCTGAAGCCCGGCAGCCTGCTGACCTCCCTGGTCAGTGCCCATACTCTGAAACTGGCTGAAGGCCTGGGCGAAGAAACTGGGCGGAGGTGGAAACTTGGGATGCCCTAACAGGCTCAGGGGCCGCCCCCTCTGGGCATACTGGGAAATATTGTTCTGGCCATAGAGCCCGTTACTGCTGCCCCCATTGCTGAGCCACGGCAGCCGATTTTGTGGATTGCCAGAATACCCGCTCTGACCCCACGTCTTGTTGCTCCGCCCCTCTTGGCCGTTGAAGTTTCCTCCACCAAACTCTGCGGACGCCCACTTCTGTAGGTTGGGAGGCTCCTGAGCGTGCCAGGTGGCGCTCTTTCCCTGTTTGTTGTGGTGCCAGGGTCGTGGCCCCCCTGCCCAGGCGTTATACTGGTTGCTCCCGTACCAGGAAGTGTTGAGAGCGGAATCAGCGAACCCCTGCGGCGGCGGCTGCTGCTGCTGCTGCTGCTGCAAGGCCAGACCGTAGCGGTAACGGTCCTTCGCCTCCTTTAGTCGCTGCTGAAACTCCTCCTTTCTTTTTCGGTCTTCTTCTTCTTTTGCCAGCTTTGCAGCGGCAGCCTCCTTCTCTTTTCTGCAAAGCATAAGTCACATACATGTTACATACATACATATATATATCCTACAAATACATACATGAACCTAAATTCATAAGGTGAGGCCTGTAGCATCCATGACTGAGATCCTTTATTTAGGTGAAAGAACTATTACCACACTGTTAATGCACTTTTTCATCAGGATTTTTATTGAATACTAACGTTGCTTAATGTGGAAATAAGCAACTGCCCAAATAGATCTGCTGTTTCAATTAAACGTGACACAATTTTTAGATTGTAGGAGATTTTACTTCCATTGCACATCTTCTTTCAGGATAACAGAAAGAAAACATCCAAAATACACATTTAGGTGTTAAGTTTTATTTTTAAAGGCCATCTTCTAGATTTTTTTTTCTTCTACTCTGAGCCAGAAATCTCTACTTCAACAGCACCTACATACTTTCCACTTTTACTCCTATTTATGGTCTGAAGATTTTTATATAGAAGTTGAATCACAAATCGGTCAAAGCCTGCTTTATACTTCATCTTATTCCTAAAAACGTGGCAAAATTGCATTTTTTTTCTGGCTTTTGACAGTTTTTTTTTTTAACCATTTACTGATAAAAAAGAGGTCTCCAAAATCCCCTCAGATTCTAGCACGTCAGCAAAACGAAAGACAAACTTTGCAGCTGGGTTCAGCCAATGTTCACATTTCTTGTTGGAAATTAATGCCAACTGTATGAGACCTAATTTGCATATTTAAACACACAATTTCGGAAAAAATGCAATACATAAAATCACTGTCTGAAGTTTCATGGTGGCATCAATCAGTGAAATAATTTGATCCTATTCGTCTCTGTGCCGCTTTAAAGGTGACCTTATGCGTCACTTGTGTGGTTTCAGCCTCTTTCTGCTGCCCCCAGGTGGCCAAAAATAGGTTGGTGTTGGCAACTGATAAGACTTAACAAGAGTTGGATTGTATTTCTCAGCGGGTGTCAAGTTTTTCGCTGAACGGATCTGCAGGGGAAAAAGATCATGTGACCAGCTAACAGTGTCCACACATTTAAAACTTGGACAGCAGCTGCAGTCAGACGCTTTTCTAAGGTTTTACAGTACGACAGCAAAGTGAAGTGCATAAAAAAAGATTATTTGAAAATGAAGGGGTTTTTGTAAAGGAGAAATCTGTGCATTTATTCAATTCCGAGCATTACAGTCCTGCAGTAAAGACTTTCCGCTGCTGTTTTTCTCCTCGGAGAAGGTATTAAACTTGAGGCAGCAGAACTCCGTGTGTGTGCAGTCATGCTTTTTTTTTTAGTCCTGACATTCGACTCCAGCCGCAGGTCAAAGTGAAGCTGCGACTAAAAGCGGCCTGTGAGCTCCGCTGAGCAAAATGCGAGACTATACATGGCATGTGTACACACAAAGCAGAGCTGGAGCGGTGTCGCTTACCTGTGCATTAAATTCATAGAAACACCGACACTGACAAAATGTTGAAGTGTTACTCTACCACGTATTGTAACTATTCTTTGGTTGAAAGATCAAATATCACGGTGGCAAATGTGAAATATGTTGAGTTTTACTAATATGAGCAACACAAACAACAACAAACAAACGACAGACTCTTATTCCAGCAGTTCAAAAGCCCAAAAATGGGTTAAATTGAAAGAAAAGTCCCACCTGATCTGCTCTTTTCTCTTCTCGATCAGCTCCACCAAAGCCTGGTCGAAGTAGTCCTCGTCTTGGTCGTTCCCAGCAGGTTTCTGCTCGGCCGCCTCCACGTTCTGCTTGTGCGTGGGGCTGGAGATGTGGCCGGCGTATTCGGTGAGGCTCACCACCTTCACCTTACACACTCTGCACTCGTGTCCGCAGTCCCTGGGGAGGGAAGGCGAGAGCGGGCGTTCAATCGATCCTTCAGGCATCGTTCCGATCTGCTTTTTATTTTCCTGTCTGCAGAGCGTGAAACGGCGTGGCTCTGCTTTCTGTTAGAGTCTGAATAAAGCCAGGAGAGGAGAATACTCAACAATCCCGCAAAACAAATGTCCGAATTCTCTATGCGTCACAGATCAGGAGGTAGCTAACTTGTAATTTTCTCTTCTTCAAAAAATAAACCTCTTTGTCATCCTGATCTTGTTTTTTTAATGTTTCTTCAGCAGGTCATAGGAGGCGGGTCGAGGGCAGGAGGAGCAGCCGGGCCGGACGCAGGCAGCATGTTAATGTGTTGGTGTCCCGCCGTGCAGCGCAGCGCTCAGCTCAGTGCGCTTCCATGATGGTGTCCGCTGCGCTCTGAGACTCTACACAAGGCAAAGACTGTATTTGACCTCACGCTGAGCTCTCACATCCAGACCCGGCCCCCCCTGCCAGGCCATGTGTTATCAGAACAAGCCCGAGGATCCTGCCCACCAATCCAGAGCAAAGCCGTCGTAACCGGAGCCGAGTGCAGCTGCTCGCAGCCTCCACTTCAAAAAACCTCTCCCAGCTATGCCATCCTGTGACTCTGACTGCTGGCTCCATCTCCATTTTCTCTGTCAGATCTGTGTCATGGCATGCTGCCATTTTCTGACCTCTCGTGCAGTTGGCAAACACTTCATCAGTAGGATAGGGTTACTTTTTTACTGACACATTATTTCTCAGCTGCAGAGAAACTCAAAAGTCTGCATCAAGCTGCTGAAGTTAAAGCTCTGAACCCCAAAACCTGTCAGCAGCTTACAGAGGCGTGTTACTGAGGGGAAAAAGAAGAAAAAAGACTAAACTATTCCACTTATCTGAGCTAAAAAATGGTCAAAACTGAATCTTCGACCACTTTCCTCTACGTGTCTCATTTAGAAGCTCGTCGACGAGTTCAGAGGCTATTCCACGGGCGTGTAGACGGATGCACAGCTGTTTGCAGGCTGTCGCTCGCTATGAATAAATCTGATGTGAATTCAAAAATATTTTTCACACTGAAACACTTTGTCGCACAGACGAGCCGCTAGCGTTGGTGGAAAGGTCATGCAGTTTATATGTTCTACACAAAGCTACAGTAAATACTTTGTGAGCAAGGGATGTAAATGTGGTTGCAAAGTGTGTCTGTCAGGTTCTTTATACTGATTTGGGTCTAATTTTTCTATCTTTTGCCTTTAGTTGAGAATTTTTTCTGGTCACCAGTGTAATTACAGAGATATTTGCTGATTTAGTTGTATTCTGAGAGCGTTGCAGTTGTTTCTCTAAAAGCAAACATCATATTATCATTACTGAATCTCAGAAATTACATTGGTTACATGAAATAATAATTTTAAAAAATGACTACATTGATTTCTGCTAACTTTATGATCCCTGAAACCCACAATCGGCTTTAACAGACTTGTTTTCTTTTTTTGTTTAAATCGATAAAACGACATAATTTACTAGAGCCAGAAACTATAAGAGAGGAAAGACTCATCTGATATTCAACTTTCCAACAGTCCTTGAATGAATCATGTACAAATGTGGTAAAAATGAACCAAACCTAAGTAGAAAATCGCAACATTTCATCAACCTCGCCTCATTTTACTGTCACGTTTAACAATTTGGTAAAAATAAACCTTTAAGTCGACCCAGATTCTGCAGAAAATAAAAAATTCTGCGCTCCTCGGCCCAACCGTGAAGCTACGAGTGACTCAGCTGCGAGCGACAGTCAAAAAATTCAGTGACTTTTCAACTGAGCTGCAGGCTGTGTTTGCACAGAGCAGATGTATGGAAACAAACTAAACATGTAAGAAAGAAAATATCTAGATTTTTTTATTGATAACACCTGTGAGCACTTAGAAAAGTGTTGCACATATTGATTCCTGTTTTTTTTTCCGTATTTTTGTTGAATAAGTAATCATGGAAATTCAACTATTGTTTTTTCCTTTTTTTAAAAAAAAACGATTTATGACAGTGGTTCTCAAACTGGGGTTTGGGACCCTCATGGGGGTCCCAAGATAATTTCAGGGGGTCGCCAGATCATTGTAAAAAAGAAATAAATTCATTAATAAAGCCTACATTTATCAAATAAACTTGTTGTAGGGCTGTCAAAATTAAAAGTGTATACTTCGTCCCACTCCTTTTTAGAACTTGTTAATATTCTGATTTGATTATGAGATATTATTATTATTATTTTTTGCTCTTTTTAAAATTATTTTCTTTTGTTTTTATATTTTTTTTCCTTTTATTTGTTTGAAATAAATTCAATTCATTCAAAAGAAAATTAACGTGTCAATGTAAAGAGATTAATCTGTGGAATAAACACATTAATTTTTAACGCATTAACGCACAAACAACAAAGTTATTACTGATGAGATATTAAAAATTCTAATTGGGGGTCACGAACACAAACTTATGTTATCTCAGGGGTCGTGGCTCAAAAAGTTGAATGCTGATTTATGGTATTATTAATGTGTTATATTTCAGAAAGCACATTTTTGACTTCTCTCTCCTTCTAGTCATAGTTGTGCTGTTTCCATAGAGGTGCTGGACTTTATATTAAGGTGAAAAATGAGCCTACAGTGAATAAAAATGTGGTTCAGACGACTGAGCCTGGCACTGCCATCTCATACCAGCCCAGGCTGTTTTATCAATCATCACAGACTCTTTTTAAACCAACACTGTTGCTTCATGAATCCAAAATTTCTTCACAGGAGCATCATGAAAAAGCACAGAGTTATTGAAATAATTACAACTACACCTCACCACACTGCAAAAAAAAAAAACATGTCCTCTTTGTGTGCCAGTGTTTGTATAAAAGCGTAGTAACTCAGCAACGGCAGCTCAGGCGCTGAATCAGTCGTGGCTGCACTCGACACTCCTCGATCTCAGCCACATGCTTTCAGTAATCTACATGGGAGTCACAAGATAGCCAGTTGCCTCCTAACGGTCATGACTGTTGTTCCGGAGAGATTGTGTCTAAATATATGTGCCACGGCGGAGACAGCTGCCCCTATATCCACTTGCCCCATAACTTCAGACACGTGAACGTGAGCACACGTGCTGCACGACTCAAATAGACTTGGACAAAACTCCTGGAACACAATAAAACCTTTTGTATTGACGTTAAGACTGAATTTATAAAGAGTGTTTTAAAATGTGAGAAAAACAAGACAAGAAAAACACATTTCATCATGTATGAAACTTTTTTCCTCTTATAAACAGCGTTCAGGATAAAGCTGAGCGTCTTTATGCTTCAGCGTTGTTGGTTGTAAGCGTAGGCGGGTTGTGTTTGGAGATGTGCACCAACAACTCACCGGCCTTTGAGCTTCTCCAGCTCGCGGTGGTGCAACATACTTCTCATGTGCTCGTCCATCTCCTGCAGGTACACATTATAAAGAAAGTGCTTCACATAGAAATCCACAAACATTTAGTTTATAAGCTCAGTTAGGTTACATTTGAGGGGGAATGTGCATGTCACAGCGATGTAGAATGAGGCTAAAACGGAAAAATGCTGCACGAATGTGGTTAAAATAGGTTTGATTCATCCATTTAAAGGTATTTTACCTCAAAAGATTCACATGAAACAGCACAATATCCAGATTTATGCATTATATACGGCTGCTGCATTGATTTTTGATTAAACATTTATTTTGTTCACAAGTTGCAAAGAATTCGAAAGCATGAAGTGAAATGATACAGTTTTTACACATTTAATTGCAGGTCAGTTACCTGCTTGGAGACGTAGACCGTTTCACAGAGGATGCACTTTCTGTCTCTCGCCATGTTGGATGCAGGTGGATCTCAGCCCATAACTGTTAAAACAGAGAGTGAATTTAAGTTAAGGCACTCATCGATAACAGCTAAAAACAACTTTATTGATCCCTCACCGGGGAAATTCACATATTCGAGCAGGTAGATAAAACTGAAGCAGAGTAACGCAAAAGTACAATAAGGCTGAAAACAATAAGCTTTACGTGGTGTCAGAAAATAGTGATGCCTTAAAATGTCTTGTGTTATCCCAGAGATATTCAGTTTAAAAGGAGTAAAAGAACAGAGAATATTCAAATTCAAGAAGCTGCAATCAGAGAACCCTGACTTTTCCTGTCGCCAAACCATTTTTAACAACTTTTTTCACAGCTGATGTATAAATCAGTTCATCACTGCAGCTCCTGTGTCCTGTCTGTTAGAAACTGCGCTCTCAGCAACACTTCAAACGAACCCAACAGACTTTTGCTGAACCACACCTCGCTATTCCGCCACCTGCCTCGGTACCGCGGCCCAGATACCAGCAGAGTTCAGCCGGCACACTGGTCTAATTCCAGTGTGCTGAGAGGGCAACTCTGCAGCCAGGAGGCAGCACCGGGGCTAAGTCTGGACTCGTCCAACGCTCGCAAACAGGGTGAGAAACGAACGCCGGCAGCAAGTCGACTGCTGGTCAACGTCTGCCTTCACAACACACAGCTGAGAGAGAAACCCTTGTTCTGTCCTGAAATGTGGCTGGTTTGTGTATTTGTTGATGCAGAAAAAGTTCAGATCAACGGTTAGAGAGAGACTCTGCCGTCTTTCCTGTGAATCTGGTGCTGTCGAAAAGAAAGTTACAACACAAAACAAAAAGGACTCGTCTCTGCCATCGCTATTATTTAAGTTTTAGGAATAAGAAATATAAAATATGAGCAGATACAAGCGTGCACGTTTGGGACAAATCTGGCTCAGGCGCAGGAGGAATGGAAATGAATTAAGAAATTGAAAAGTCAACTACAACATGATACATTTTTTTAACAGTTTTAACCAAAAATATTTTTAACAATTTACTGTAGATTTTCCCTGTTTTATCAAATCACAGATATTAACGAATAAAATCACTGAAAAAAAGACTTAATTTACCTGTTAGTCATAAAAAAAGCAAAAACAGTAATTAACGTCTACATCAAATATCTGTATTTTTACAACGTTTGACTATAAAATGACCTTTTTTTTTTATACTGTATTTAAATTACCAAAACATATAACAATCTTTTAGACATTTGCCGTTATTTGAATTACAAGTTTCCACACTAGAAATTAAAAAAGGGGTAAATATTTTTAAAGTTATTTTACAGATTTTCCCTCTTTTGTTAATGTTGACTGCAAAAAAAAAAACCTAATCGCATCAAAAATCTGTATTTTTACATCATTTATTCTTTTACAATGTGTGACCATAATATTATGGTTTTACTCCTCTGAAAATATTAGTTTACAGATATTTACCAGCATTTCCATCGTTTGTTACAGCAATCCACCATTTTTTTTGTGTGTTTTTTTTCTTGCGTCTTTTTGCAAAATGAAAAGCTGGTTGTCTAACCGTCCTATAAACAAGAAACAGGCTCTGCTGCAGGGCTGAATGATACGAATAAAAAATGTTACTGTGAGCATTTTCAACAGATATTCTGCTACAGGTCACAATTGCAGTGGGAAACATCATCTTTTCTACAAAAAATGCAAAATGTTAATGTGATTCTTGCTGTTCGTTTATATCTCAAGAATATCATTCATAGGTCGGGGCATCTCTTTGGCAAAACGATTATCTGTGTGATTTTAATTTAAAAAAACCAGCACCAGCATTTTGGATGTAGCACTTGGCCATGTTGTGATTGTGATAGTAGCACAAACAGCTGTTTCACCTTCTTCTGTGGACGCTGAGTGGTTAAATGCAAGAACAGAGGAGCAACACTTGTCCTGCTGCCTCCTATTACAGTCTTTATTCAACAAACCCTATGTCTGTTTGACAAACGCTAAAACAGTCAAAGCATTCTGGTGCCGTTCTTTTAGATTTTTTTCATCTTCATCTGACTACGAACAACTTTCCTCCCTCTACTCATCAATGGTTGAATCAGCACAGTTTAATGTAGAGTACAGTACAGAGATCCCATCATCATCATCATCATCATCATCAGTTAGGCCTATATTGTGTTTATGACTTCATGAAGTGCCTCTGAATGCCTTCATCCCCATTTCTCTTCCCTCCCAAAGCACCAGAGGGCAGCTGTTTATAAGATTAGTAAAATCAAATGCTCATGTTCCATCTCAGCCACTGAATCTCTGCAAAGGCAGGACAGTGTTTAGAGACCAGTTAACTTTCATACTGAACGTGTAGCTCTGCTAAAATATCTCAAAACACACAGGAATATATATACAAGAGGCAGCTTGTGATGTTGGATTGCTACAGAGCTTCCTCCTGCTGAGGCTGATGCACAAACTAGACCGCACAGTTGTCCATAAATCTAGATGAAGATCAACACAAAAGTAACTTCAGGTTCAAAGCTAACTTGCATGTTTCAGAATAACAAAAGAACAATTAAACTTGGTCTGCCCGAACCAGTTTCACAACACTGACCTGTTAGGCTAGCTGGCTAGCAGTTAGCTACCTGGTGCAGGACTTTATCATCACAAGTTTCAAGACATTTTAACAAACGATGTCGAGAAGTAAGCAAATCCAGTCAGAATCTGCAGGAAATTTAACTTCACAGCTGTGTTGTTAGATTTTAAAACTAGCTGGTTAAGTCGTGTAGCTAGCAGAGGGTTGGACCCCTCTTTGTTGTTAGCTTAGCTGTAGCTAGCTGCAGTTAAAGAGTGCAGACAGCCCTAACAACTGTGTAAAAAAGCAAACAAAAGGACCACCCGACTTCCTTAAGTACAAGTTGTTAGTAAGAACTATGACTTTTCACTGAGATCAACTGTCGGTTAAGTAACCGCTACAGCTAGCAGGTTAGCATGCTAGCAGTACCAAGCTAGCCAGCAACAGCAACGTTACACCTCTACTGATTTACGAGTTTTACAATCCTGAGGGAGAACAGCGAAACCAGAGTGTTTGTACATGGTGTAAATACTGAGGTGTGTCTGTCGGCTACCTTTAAAACATCCACATGTGTGCAGGACTACTGCATGTTCTCATCCAGGGCTGAAGCTAACAACAACATCCTGCTCGAGCCGAAACTACAAACCAGGAGGCGTTCAAGGGGCAGCGCTGTGTGGGAAACCACAGCACCGCGTTCAGAGCAGTGGATTTGACCTTAAAGAGCAGTTTTAGAATGATAACACTCACTCAAGTACACCTGGAAAATACTTAAATCTACAGTTGATATTACTGCACTCACAAATTGAGCTTATCTGTGTATTTTCTTGGTTGTGTGTTAGGCAACTAGTTAGTTAAAGCTGACTTTACATAACTATACATATAAATAGACCTAAATTAAAATGTTAAAATGCTTTGTCTCAGTGTAGAAAGATGCAACATACAGGGCTTTTGTCCTAAACCAAATGTATAAACCTTTTCTATGCACATAACTTTTTAAAAAATATTTTAATTTTTTTCAAGATTTACATTAAAAAAGGGTGGAACACGGTAATGTTCAAAAACCCCAAAACTAGCAGTACATTTCTGTAAAACTGTGAAATGTTGGTTGTCACACATGGTAAAATAACAAATTGCTATTTGTAAAAATACACATTATTGCTGTGGATATCATTTATAGTTTTAGCTATTTTATTTTTCCTTACATTTAACTTTTTTTTCTGTAATTTAACAAAACTGAGAAAATCTGTAAAATAACAGATTTGTTTTATTTATTTATTTTACAACTTTTCAATCCTAAATATACGTTTTTTGTTTTCTTTTCTCTTTTAAATAACGCCAAATATCTGTAAAATAACTTTTTGACCAAAAAAAACAACTACATAATGTTTAATTTTATGGTCAAACATTGTCAAAGAACAAATTGTAATTAGTAAAAATACTGATTTTTAATGTAAAAAGAAATCTGTGATTCTGTGATTTTACTAGATATCATCTGTAGTTTTAAAAAATAGGGAAATCTATAAAAGAACATTTAATTCTTTAAAACAATTACAATTAAAACTGTTAAAAAGAAAAACTTTCCTTTTTTTCACTGTGTGGTCTACCTCAGCGATTCTCAAATGTTTTTGCCACAAGACACTCCTGTACATGGGATTATAGTGGAAAATCATCAGAAACAATATCAATTAATGAATATTCCAAAGAACACACATTTTATATTTGTTTTACTATGAAATAACTTGAAAATGCTCCAAAACAACACTTCTGTGTATTTCCTTGGTTGTGTGACTAAGTAAACAATAAAAAAAATCTCGGGGCTGCAACCGTCGCCTCACAGCTAGAAGGTCGCCGGTTTGTGTCCCGATGAGAACACCCCAGTTCTTTCTGCTTGGAGTCTCCATGTTCTCCCCGTGCAGCGTGGGTTCTCTCCAGGTTCTCCAGCTTCCTCCCACACAGTCCAAAAACATGTTGAGGTTAATTGGTGATTCTAAATTGTCCGTAGGTGTGAATGTGAGTGTGCTTGGTTGTCTGTCTCTAAGTGTAGTCCTGTGATAGACTGGTGACCTGTCCAGGGTGTCCCCTGCCTTCACCCTGAGTCAGCTGGGATAGACTCCAGCCCCCCATGACCCTAGTGAGGATTAAGTGGTGTATAGATGATGGATGGATGGATGGATAAACAAATCTCAGTTTGGTAAAACTCTTTTCTATATTTCTCAACAATATACAGTATTGACAAACTGATGAATAAAATTCAACAATAAAATTTAAAAAATGTGTTTATTTTCCAAACAACTCTAAAAATATGACATATGAGCTACACTACTGACCAGGACACATTTACAATTCAAGTAACGACATTTCAGTTGAAATTAAATGAAAAAAGTGAAAGTACTGCAAAAACTGATTTACCACAAACACTATAAAAAATAAACAGCAGATTAAAGCCAGTTCAATCCCTTTGGAGTTATCAATACAATTTTCATTCTTAATGGAAATTTCTCTTACAAAATGCCACATATAGACAAAAGACTCCCTTTAAAATAGTATTGTCCAACTATTGTTTTGTTTTTATCAAACTTCACATTTTCTCAGTTTTATACCCGAAGCGTCTTTAACAGTGTCTTAGCTTTCAGCAATATATGTGTCATGTTTCCCTGGAATGTTTCAGAAGACAATCATGACACACATCTTATTTTGAAATGCAGCAAAAACAAAAAATTCACTGAAAATCTTACGGATAAAATGCTTTAGTATTGAGAATTCCCAGCAGTTATTACAAAATAATGCAAGTTAGTGACCTCAGCGAACGCAGCAGTGTAAAAATAAAGACTCGGCTTAGTCAGATAAACTGGATCTCGTCAGGTTGCGTCAGCAGTGTTTTTCTACAAAGTGTTTCAGCTCACTTGGTTCAGCTCTCGCGCTTTATTCTTCAGATGCCTCTTACGCATCTTGATGATCCACTGAACAGTGAGTTTGGCGAAATTAGCAGCTTTGAAAAGAGCCATGAAGACGCCGCAGAGGATGGCTACGGAGCTCCAGGGATTTGCAGTCACTATCTGTACGGAAACACGCAGATCTGAGTTAAAACTTGATTTTAAAAACAACAGTCAAATGAGAATAACATCTGGGAGAACTTACCAGTCGGATTTCCTGCATGAAAGGATCTCGCCATTCGAAGACAGCAAAGAAGAGCTGATTGGTTTGTTCTGGTTCGGGTCTTTTGTCGTTGAATTTCACCACAGCGGACTACAAGATCCAACACAAACGATGAAATTAAAGCTTTTAAACTTCACCATGTAGGCAGGAATGTGCAAACTGGTAAATACCTCTTGCCGAAACTCCACAGCTTCATTGCGTTTCCCAGAAGTCTTGACTAGAGACATCTTGACCCAGGTTCTGAATCCTCCAGAGAAGGTCCACATGGAGTAATTCCTCTCACAGTCCCTCATAAACTCAGATTTATTTGCACTGGAGAGTCAGAAAACACACACGTTGCTGTCAGACGGCACCGAATCCTTTATAAAACGCGAAGTAGCAACTACAAAAGTGCTTCAGATAAGCTCTCAGTGAGAAAATGGTTCATTTAATTGACTTTTAAATGGCATTAATAATTCCTATCAAGCTGTGAGTGCATGATTTGTGTCGTGAGCTGAGACAAACAGAACAAAATACACCAGAAGTGGCATCAGCAAACACTACAAGCAGGATCAATAGCTGCTGTTTGCTTTTACCTCTCAATCAAGTCACTAAACTTTGCAAAAAGCATGTAAGTGATGGCGCTGAAGTCCTCCTCTGTTTCATTTTGACTGAACTGCATGAAGATCAGCTCTTTGTTTCTGACGTCAGACGGGCCGCGGACCACCAGAGCTCTTTTCTGCAACGAGAAAGTGGAAAGTCAGTGCATTCTGTCTTCAAAACAAACAAAAAACTCATATTTTAAATGCATTCTTTTTATATAATTATATTCCCATTTTATTGCTTGTCAACACTTAATAATGGTCAATTTAATTAGAATTTTTAAATTAATGAAAAATATGAAAGACCAGATTGAATAAGTATTCAACTCTTTTAAAGTGAGTCACCTGATGCAGGTGGATGGATAAAAGGAAGTTTCCAAATCACTAAATATCCCTTTGAGTACAGCAGAATCTGCTATTAAGAAATGGAAGGAATATAGCACATGTGTAAATCTACTTGACTGAGCAAGAAACAGGGAGGCCACCAAGACAACTAAAAGTCCTCTGACAGAGTTACAAGCTTCACTAAGATACGAGAAACTGTTCATACAACAACTGTTGTCTGATCTTCAACAGACAAAGCTTTGTGAAAGAGTGGCGAAGTGAAAGACACTGTTAAAAAAAAACTGGACTTGAGTTTATCAGACGGCAC